CTTTTCTTTTTTCTCTTTTCCATTCTTTCATTTTTTGGTCTTTTTCGAATATTCTTCTTTCCTTTCTTTTCCAACCAACTAGTTAATTAATTAACTTATTTATTTATTCATTTATTTATTTATTACTTATTTATTATTTATTTATTTCTTAATTATTTATTTTTTTTTATTTTAATTCAGCTGACGAGCCAATACGCGGCAGCCTTGACAATTCTTTTGGCGGGTTTGGCGGGACAGGCCAGAACTGTTTTTTTGGAGGAGTGCATTGCAGGGTTTTTGTTTTGGAACAACTTAGGCAAACCCTAAACCCTAAACCCTAAACCCTAAACCCTAAACCCTAAGCCCTAGAGAGCCCAGCTCGCGCCAGTCTAGACCCTCCAGAACTGTTTTTTTGGAGGAGTGCATTGCAGGGTTTTTGTTTTGGAACAACTTAGGCAAACCCTAAACCCTAAACCCTAAACCCTAAACCCTAAACCCTAAACCCTAAAGAGCCCAGCTCGCGCCAGTCTAGACCCTCCAGAACTGTTTTTTTGGAGGAGTGCATTGCACGGTTTTTGTTTTGGAACAACTTAGGCAAACCCTAAACCCTAAACCCTAAACCCTAAACCCTAAACCCTAAACCCTAAGCCCTAGAGAGCCCAGCTCGCGCCAGTCTAGACCCTCCAGAACTGTTTTTTTGGAGGAGTGCATTGCAGGGTTTTTGTTTTGGAACAACTTAGGCAAACCCTAAACCCTAAACCCTAAACCCTAAACCCTAAACCCTAAACCCTAAACCCTACAGAGCCCACCTCGCGCCAGTCTAGACCCTCCAGAACTGGTTTTTTGGAGGAGCGCATTGCATGGTTTTTGATTTGGAACGGCTTACGCAAACCCTAACACCCTCAAACCCTGCCAGCCACAAACCCTAAACCCTAAACCCTAAACCCTAAACCCTAAACCCTAAACCCTAAACCCTAAACCCTAAAGCCGTAAATCCCAACATTCTGCCGACAGTTGTTGGCGCCCTTGCCGGCAGCGTCGCCCTTGGCTTGCTGCAGTGGTCTAGGGTTTAGGGTTTAGGGTTTAGGGTTTAGGAGCTTGCGTTCGTTGAGGCTTGGCCCATGTAGGGTTTAGGGTTTAGGGTTTAAGGTACGTTTGCTGCTGCTTCCTGCTGGACTGTCTCT